GATCGCGTTTCGGACCTCGGCCTCCGACGGCGGCTCTAAACTAACCGTCCATGGCACGTCCTGCATCACCTGAGTAGGAAGAGGTATGGGAGCAGGGGGCCAGCTGAACTGCTGTTCAAAGTGTTCAGCCCGATGAGCCATACGGCGCTCCCTATTGTGTATCAGCGCACCCGCGCTGTCCCTGATTGTCTCACTGACGCCTGGTTTTCTGGGACCAGTGATGCGGAGTAAGTTGAAGAGCTTCCGGTAATTGCCTACTGCTCCTGCCTCCTCCATTTCTTGAGCCCGACTGGTCCACCAGGCTTCCTTGTCAGCACCTAGACTCCGCTTTAGTTCACGCCTAATAGCCCGTCTGGTCACATTGTGTTCAGAGCCAGCCGGGAGGTGTCTTCTAGCTTCCAACAGGTTCATCGACCTCTCGGATATCCAGTGACTGGTGCGGTGACGACTGATAGTGCCACAAACAGATGCTCCTGCGTCGTGCATAGTGGCCGAGATCCTATTCCACTGAAGTTCAGTGTCATTAGGACAAGACAGCGAGAGTTCGGTATGTAGTGCTTCTCGATAGGCTTGCCTGACAGAGGGCTGGGACAATTTCTCCGTTGCCAATCGGGGGAGACGCTTTGTGCGCCTTCCGGTAAAGTTCATGGAGAAACGACAGCGCACCAAGGCATGATCAGAGTCGACACGGGTACTCCAGTACGAGCGGCAATCCAGAATGGAACCGCGCCACCTGTAAGTTATGGCTATGTGGTCAATTTAGGTCCATCGCTGGCCAGCTACAGGTGGATGCCAAGTGGCATTTCGGCGCCCACTGTGTCTAAAAGCAGTGCTTCTAAGAAACAACTGGTGCTCCGCACACAGTTGCAGCAGACGCTCGCCGTTGTCAGTCCGTTCGGAGTTAAGTCCACAATTACCACCCAGCTGAGCTTCTGAAGAGCTCAGACGCCCTACTTGTGCGTTCATATCCCCTGCAAGTACTATAATATCTGAACTAGTAGCACTGCGTAGTAGGGCGCTCAGTTCCTGATAGAAAGTGTCCTTGACCGCATTAGAACTGCAGTCGGTGGGAGCATAAGCAGAAATCACAAACAAACAGCGTCTTGCTTTACTTCGTGAATTCACCTTAGCTGATGTCGTCAAACGGGCTGCACATAAACGGCTGTTCACCGGAATCCAATCAACCGTCGATGACTCAGACTTGGAGCTGAGAATGATACCTACACCAGCTTGACCCGTGAGTGCCGCATCGGCGTCTCCGGATGTGTGCAACCACTAACGAGAGGATAAGCCGGGTGCAGTCAATTCAATAACCCCGTTAGGGTCATTAATCCTAGTTTCGGACACACAACACACATCAACACCCAGTGTGTCCAAGGTGCGTGCGAGTGCAGCCTTCTGATCTGTTTGTCTTAGAGTGCGGACGTTGAATTTCGCCATGGAAACGGGACAACATGGCCTTATAAGGGACGTTTGTCGATAGGCGTCCGATAGGTGCTGTGGGATGGTGGCTGCAGACGGTACTACTCCAGTAGCACTTCGGTTGCTGTCAATTAAGCTGGGAATTATAGAAGGAAGGTTAGTAATAGGGGCCGGGATGGGAGTAAGAGAAAAAGGTGGAAAAGAAAGAAGGGAGGTGCCAGCAGTAGCATGTTTTCGCTTATCCGCCCTGCTGTATGCAGCAGATAAGGCAACCCTTGATAATCTGGGCGACGGCTGATGCAGGATGAAGTTTATTTTTGAAGAATATGTCATGGTTGTATGCTGGCTGGGATACTGCCAGGGCACCCAGACCTAGACAGGAGAACGATTAGGGTCCTCATCCAAAGCCTTTGGCTCAAATACCTGTCCGCAAGGCAGCGGAGTGGCAGTGATTTAGTTTTACAGAAATGGACGCCATCCCATTTCAAACCCCCAACCTGGAGGACCAGGAGACTGAGTTTGTCTGACCTCTCACCATTGACCAACCTGGTAAGAGTAGCTCTCAAGATGCTCGGAGGCATCACCCAGTATAGCTCAATGGGTCAATGAGGTACGCAAACCGTCGCACCACGTTAAGGTCCAGTCTCGTTGCGACGGTACCTACTGAACAGAACCACAGCGAATCTGGCTTACTATTGTGTAGCTTCAACTGGTTCACTGTGAGCTTGGAACATTTGCGATGGAACTTGCCTCGGCAGCTGCTACACTGGATTCCAATTCGTACACTTTTATGACATCAGCTAAGGCCACAAACTACTATGGATCTGGATGCGTTAACGTGGGTTTTTGATCGGTCGCCACGATCCATTGCGTCGATCGGTGGTATTCCCTTAGAGTCCCGAGCACTTATGGTTCCCTGTGGGTCACGTGTGCGCTAAATTGTCTGCATGTTTAAGATCATCGCGTTCTGTGCGTCTGGCCCAGGCGGGGAAGGTTTAGGCGGCTAGATCGTTCACACGGCAAACGGAGTGACTGAGCGATACGGACACAAAGTGTACGATCGCTACTTTGGTGAACCATCCACAGCTGTGGTTGCTGATTCGTTGGAACAAACGTGTAGTTGGCTTTCGTTTGAGACCACCATTATTGGTGTGTGGTTCGTGCTTCGATAAATTCCTCGATTATGTTTTTGCGGGAATTGTGCGGAAACCGCAATGTGGTGATTAAAGGGCGATCCACACAAGCTAAGTCCGAAAGATGGAGTGCACTAGATAGCGCTGATGAAGTTGGGTCGAATATATGTGAACCCACGTTAATGTGACAAAATGCAGCAGAAAAAGAGTGACAAAACACCGTGTTCACATATGAACGATTAGCCCACAGGTTCGTTCAAGGTCACAACCTTGTTTCACTGCCCTATAGACCTGCATGCCATCAGCTTTATGCCAATGGCCACATGGTGATTTTGCCACATCAGATTCTCCAGTTTTCAATATGCCACAGCCGCCTCCTAAAAGCGGACGCGAGCTAACTCGTCATCTGGAGGCCGTTAGACATTACGCTCCCAAGGTAGCAAAATCGGGAATTGATTTATAAATCGTCGTTACCAATCTGGCTTTTGTGTAGGAATATGGGCTTCGTTTCTTTTGAAGGCTGTAAAAGAAAAACAGCCATGCTTGTGTTGACGGTGAGTCAGAAATTGGCCACCATCCAAGCAATATCTGTTGCCATGCGTTGCAACTCATCCTCGCTCCGCGCGAACAACGCACAGTCGTCGGCTAACAAAACATTCAGATGATTGTCTCACGTACTCGAGCACTCACTTTGATACGACGGATGTTCAGCAACTCACCATCAAGACGGCACTGCACACGGATACCGTAATCACAAGCAGCATCAATAGCAAATCATTCCATGGAGGTAAATATTTAACATGGCATGGTTTATGTCACAGCCTTGCTTCACACCAGAGACAACATCAAAATCAGCCGTTTTCCCACTTAGCTACACCCTCACTCGCATACCGCTGTGCAGCGCTTCAATTAGACTTACAACCTTACTCGGTCAACCAAACTTATCCAACATCAGCTATAGCGCCTCGCGGTTCACCGTGTCAAATATTAGTGAAGTCGATAAACAGTGTGTAAACGGCTGGTGTCGTTCTCTCCATCCTTCCTGCTACTGATGAGCCGCTAACACCATATATGTAGTACTGTGGCCCGAACGGAATCTGCGTTGCTCTTCAGCCACGTTCGGGTTATTAACCTGGACGACGAGGTGGTTCATCAGGACTTAAGCAATCACGTTCCCATCGCAACTCATCAGGTTGATGCCACGATAATTGCTAACACTGCTTGTTTCCTTCACCCAAGGGAATCTTTCAGCTCACCTGGCACATGTTCTTCGCCTTCCACCAAGTGGCGCTGTGTATGTAGAATCGCAGTTCCAACGTTTTTCAGAACCTCTGGGGCACTTGCCATTTTGCAGCTGAGCAAGTACTCTCCACATCTTACTAAATGTCTAGATGATTGTTTCTCATAATTGTTGTTGCGGTCCGTGCAGTGCAGCGCAGTCAGTCTCTGAATGGTTGTTCGATAAACATTCAAAATTGCCTTCTCCAGATCTGCATTATATCTGTAGCCTGTGTGCAAGCAGCGCCTGATGTATCATACAGCAGCGTCCTCACCGGCTACAATATGGGACTATACACCGCCTTCAAGTAGTCATAGAACTCTTTACGTTGTTGGCGTTTGGTCTTGCGTTCCATCTACTTTGCTTTCTCCGCTCAACATGCATACTTTATGCGATGGAGCTTTCGAGTCAAACGTCCACGCAATTTAAAAAACATACTCTTCTTCTCTGATTCCTCAGTCTCATGTTTACTAAAAGTAACTCTGCACTCGTCTCCGACTGTTGGCGTTCATGAAACAAGTAATTGAATACATTGAGTTTCGGTTTTTTAATCATTCACTCAGAACTTTTGCCTCAACTCTAACATTGTAGGGTACGTTTTCAACTACGAGCTGTTACTCACGGGGATCTACTCGAGGCAAACTACACACAACCTTGGAGACACATAACTGTTTGCACGTTATTTTTCGACCGTGGCTAATCAGGGTGATATTTGTGTGTAGGCACTCTTCATGCCAACACAACTTTGGTGGAGCGTGGTTACTCCAATTCTTGAAGAATGTATAGCTGTGTGCGAACGGTTCGCCACAATGCTGCCTCGGCGCTGCCCGCGATACAAGACCGATCGCTGTCCCCGCTGGTCGTTTGAAAACCATACGTCGGTGCCACCGAGCCTCATGTAGGGAATATAGGATACGTTACTGTGTTTCAGTAGTTTTTATAGACAAGGCTGACATCATTTTCATTGTGTGGAATAACTGTACATATGTTATCGATGTTTGATTGTTTCTTCACAATACTCCATAGTTGCTTCGAATCCATATGCTATCTAGCCGCGTGAAGATGATCAACATTTGCATCATTTTTGCATTTTTGATATTCCTCTTACACGCTTGTTTGTATGACGTTCCTAGACGATTTCCGCTTTTCGGTTTTTCGATTGTTAGTTGGCTTGGAAGCAATTTCCAGAAGGACTTTTAATTGGTGAAATGCCAGCCTCTGTCAGACAGGCGTTGGGTTCCAGACGTCGAGAAAGGCCTGGTGGTTGTAATGCTTTAATCCGGGAAAATTCTACCTCAGTTTCATCTGAAAGTTGCGCACCCGGTTCTTGCCAGTCCTCCTCATCAGTTCGATCAAAAAATACTACTGCATCCGTTTACTGTCCTGTTGGTAGTCGGGATACCACAAACGGATTGGAACAGTTTTTACCGGAAGATATCGTTAAACTAACGATGCAGTTGGAAAACGGGATGGACGATGGTATGTTACCATTCTCTGTGTACTTGCTTTACACGCCAACTTGTACTATGAAACGCAAGTTCAGTATCAAAATTGCCCTTTACCTTTTCTTGATACTCTCTTCGTGCAGTGTTCTCGGTCGAGTAAGAACCAAAGAACAATCTGATAGCATTTCTTGGCCACCAGCTCCAAACGGTGTGTTTGTTTGATCTTAGACTTTTCAGGGAAGATCCAGTCGGAACAAGAGTTGCTTTTTATTTCCGTTTCCGGTTTTGCTGGTAATTTTGACTGAGAACTGTGGAGCCATAGTACCTTAATCAGCACCCTTCTAGGCCTATCTAAAGTACCGTATATTACTTTGTAAAAGCCGATCCGTATATAAGCCGACATATGACTGCAACGTCAAATTTGTCCAAAATCGTAAGTCCGTATATTAGCCGATCCCCCAAAAAATCAGCAAAAGGAGAATCGATTTTGACTTTATCACTACCTGATCTCATTTGAGTGTGCTCAAGCGAAAGCTCCTCTATTGTTGGTCAGTTCTGGCGACCTAATGTGTTATGATCGCAGTTAATGGGGCTTAGAGCCGTCAGAACAACGATTTTAACTGCACTGGACAGTGTGTTGATTAGATGTCAAGTCACACGAAACAGGTAAGACAGCCGACAATATGGGGTAAGGTGAAAGGGTATGTCAGACACCGCCTCGCATAGTCAGGGGCCTCATGCATCTGAATCGCAGTGGAGCAGCGGATGAGAGGGAAATTCACGAGCAGTGATGTGGGACGACGTTGTACTTTTAATGCACTTGTTTGACTACCATAGCATAATGTATAAGCGCTATGATCATTCAAAAATGCTGCATCAGTAATGCTATGGATGGAAGTGAGGACGATGCCATTTTTGCGGAATACGACAATGACGTGAGCAGTGACATTGAAGATGGGGATATTCTCCCTGACTTCCCAATGACAGATGACCAGTACCAGGAACCGTTTTTTTAATTCTGACTCGGATTTTGGTTTCAAAGAATTTGTGTAATTTTAGTACCATTGTGCATCGTTTGGATATGTGAGCCTATAAAATCGACCGGTACATGCTTTACTGTCATGTCTTTTTCCAACGTTATTGTGTGTGATGGTGTTCGATTCTGTATCATCGGTATCTTTCTCTTACTGTCATCCGTCGCGAAAGTCAAATGTGCAAGATACCGAGGACTTTCGACACAAACACAATGTGTCTACCTCAAATCCCCGCCTGGGATACCGTCTATCACTAGCGAGTGGTGCAAAAATGGGGGGCATAGGTGTGCAGTGAATTTTTAGATGGATTTTGCATGTGATTTTGCATATTGCGCTTAACCTTAATACAAGCCGACCCCCCCCCACCGCAAGCATGGAATATTGTCCGAAATTCACACGGTAATATACGATAACCTCCAAGTGGCAACATTGAGTGGAATGCCGGATAGATGCAGTATTGTTTCATGGCCATCTCACTCTCCATCGTGCGCACTGGTGGTGTTATGAAATTATGGATATAATATGAACTGGGAGTACTTACCCGCTTTCTGTGAGCATGTGACTGCTTATTGCCAGAGAATATAAGCATTTTGGAGACGTATATAACCGGTGTGCACAACTTGGTCACAACCCACTTGGTGGTTAACTCCCTCTTGGAACTTAGCGCTTCTAAGTGGACTATTGCACCCCATCTACTCCAGTTATTTATAATGGTCGTCGTTATCATCGCCATCAATACACACTAGCCAGGAGTGAAAGACACCACAGAAAATAGGCCGCAATGAAAAAACGCTAAGTGAGTAAACATTGCCGACTACAAAAAGCTAATAAGTAACACAATGTTAAATAATGACCGTTGTGATCCAACAACCAATATATCGGCGTCACTTTGACGAGCGTCCTGCCGACTTTGGTATCCTGTCTATCCAAACCAACTACAACCATCCACACGCTCTCTTGCTGCTACAATGCTATTCACTCATGCTACTATGCCAATTTCACAAGCACACGTCGCCATTTTACCTACCCATTCCTTGTACCATTCACACCCATCATCATCATCATACACGTTAGCCAAAGGTGGGGAACACCTCAGCTACTGTGCCGCAATACATAGAAAAAGGAGAAAAAATGCAACTGGTGCAAGCTGGCTGAGCTACCGAAACGGATGGGCATCGTTCCGGTAAGCTACCAGTCGGCTGCTGTGCACCCAAAAAAATTATTATGCAAAATTATATAAGGCTAAATAATGAGATCGTGGTTGGAGGGGGAGGCTAAGAGGGATGAAGTGGGACAAAGAAACTCACAGTACGAACGCCACTGAGGTCGGCTCCTTGCCATGTCAGCAAGTGTGTCCAAGCAAACGTGTTCATCGTCTTTCGGACCCCAACCAGGGAGCCGAGACGCTCCAACCGAGGCCAGCTCAGAAGTGAGGGCCTTCATTCCTCTCGACCAAGTCATCGCTTGGCCACCCCTCCTTCCATCCACACCCCCGGCGCGCAAACAACGCACGTCGCGGGAGTCGGTGGGCTGGCATGCGTAACACGTGGCCGAGCCATCGGAGCCTAGTGCGTGAAATAACGGTGCTGAGCGGTTCAGTTCCTTTTCCTGTGCCATAAACAAGGCGTCGAACACGCTCGTTGCTCACGCGGTGTTCCCACCAGATGTGAGCTAAATTACGAAGACACCGGTGGTCGAACGTAACTAGCCTCTTCAGGTCCGTTGCTTTAAGCGGCCAGGTTTCACAACCGTACAGTAGGGTCGAACGTACCGCTGCATTGTACACTCTACCCTTCAGGGCAAGAGTGATGTCGCGCCGGCGCCATAAGTGGCGAAGGTTAGCAAAAGCGCCTCGAGCTTTTGCTATACGGTTCGTTATCTCATCTTCAATCCCACGGGCGCTGATACAACTTCCCAGGTAGTTGAATTTTTGAACGACTTTTAGCTGATCCCCACCAAGGGTCAGCGAAGGAGGCGGTCCAGACCAATCTTGGAGGAACGCTTTGCACTTTAAGGGTGCGAAGCAAAGCCCGAATTGACGGACAGCTAGTGCTAATCTGTCCAGTGCCGTTTGGCACGTCTGGGAGCTGTCACAGATTAGGACAATATCATCAGCATACGCTAAGTCAAGAAATCGTTCTCCTGGGAGTAGCTCTACACCTTCTAAGTCGTGTCCTGTAAATGTGATTTCCATGACTTCGTCAACAGCGAAGTTGAAGAGGAAAGGTGACAGCGAGCATCCTTCTCTCACGCCGCTGGAGATATTAAAGGGCGACGACAACATGCCGTTATCCCTCACTCTGCCCCAGCTGCGCGCATATAATGCTCGGATAACCATATATTTCTCAGGTACACCTTTCCTGAGTAGACAGCCCCAAAGTGCATGTCTATCCACCGAATCGAATGCACCTTTGATATCGAGGAACACGACCACGGTGGGCCGCGAATATATGTGACGGTGCTCCAACAACTGACACAAGGTGAAGATGTGGTCAATGCAGCCACGACCTCGATGAAACCCGGCTTGCTCTTCACGAATATGGCTTTCACGAGCGCCAGTCTGTGAAGGATGACAGAGGCAAGCAATTTGGAGGCGATGGAGATCAGACTGATTCCTCTATGGCTGCCGCATTCCGATCGTGAGCCTCCTCTGAAAATTGGGACTATGACGGAGCGGCTCCAGTCGGTTGGGACAGTTTCCTGCTCCAACAGTTGAACTAGCAATTCGTGTAAATTATCCACAAGAGCAGGTCCCCCGAATTTGAAAAGGGCTGGAGGAAGATCATCAGGTCCCGCGGCTTTAATTAACTTCAACAGTCCGATCTCAGGTTCGACTTCTGAGCGAGAGAGCGGATCCAAAGGGACAGACCACGGAGCGGGACGATCAGTGGCCGGCGAGAAATCGAACAATTCCGGCTGATTAAATTGCCTTTCAAAGTGCTCAGCCCAACGCTCCAAGCGTTTTGATAAGTTGTGGATAGGCTGTCCACTCACGTATAGTTTCACTAACACCAGGTCTCCTGCTGCCCGATTCCCGTATCAGCCGGAATAACTTACGATGGTTACCAAGGGCAGCGGCCATTTCCATCTCTGATGCACGAGGAGACCACCAGAATTCGCGGTCTCTCTTCAGGCTAGCACGGAGTTTTGTCCGGAGCTCTTTGCGAGTTTCAACCATTCACACCCTGTTTTACCTGATTCCTCTATGACGATCAACCCCACCTACACCGGTGAACCTGTTCCCGTGACATCTGCCAACTCAACCACACAGTGCTCAACCGAGAACTGTCATCCCCGAAGTCTCCCATTTTCGCTCCTGCAATCCGGAACGCAGTTCAAACTTGCGGTCTTCAACTTACGCACATTACTGCAGATCGGTCAGCAAGCTGGACTTGCACGCACGCTAGAAACCCTTGGAATTGATATCTGTTGCCTGAGTGAAGCGCGACTCCAGTACTCCAACTCTGTCTACCAGCTGGCGTCACCGCTCCATTCACGCACCCGCTTCCATCTCTAGTTCTCTGGTGACGCCAAGTCTGCCGCATCTGGGCAAGCTGGTGTTGGAATCGCCCTCAGTGCTAGAGCCGAGACTGTTTTGGTTGATTGGATTCCGATCAATAGTCGCCTTTGTGCGATGACGCTCCATGGCTCTTGTAAAGTTAGCAGACGTCGAGTCGAAAAGCGTGCTCTCTTCGTGATCTCTGCCTATGCACTCAATGACTGTAGCTCGGAAACAAAGACCAGTTCTACTAGAACCTTCATGAGGTGCTCCTAAGGGCTCCTAAAACAAACATCACTGTTTTGGCAGGAGACTTCAGCGCGCGTGTCGGTCGGCTGCTGCCATGTGAACGCCACCTCGGGGGACCGCATGGATATGAGGATGTTCGCTCAAACAATGGAGAGACTGCTCAGTCTTTGTGCTGATCATCAGCTTTTCCTCTCCAACTCCAGCTTTCGTCATCCTGGACGCCAGTATGCCACTTGGCGCCCCCCATCATCC